GTAACGAAAGTTTCAGGGAAAGCCAGGGTCATTTGCAAATACCGCGAAAATTCCTGGGAAGTGCTGGGTAGTTTGAGCTGACTTGGGGATTTCTGCAGAAAAGCAAAGTGCATTGGCCTAATTTCATGTTGAGGAGTACTTCAAGATAACATGCAGGCAGGTGTAGGCATATAGACAGGTTTCTTTCTACATGTGGGGCAATAACCCTGGCTTGGAGACAGATGTTTGGGGCTGAAAATGTGTGACGAGTAACTGCTACCAATGATTGTTATGCTGCGCCAAAATGGCTTTTGTCACTCGCTTCACTGAAATAATAAAACCAAAAGACAGTGAAGTTGAAATTGAAGTTTATTGTGACATCATGAAAATACAAGTGACATGGTTCATAAGTATTGCAGAAGGAGGTCCCGAAGTAAACACTGTCAGGGGACCTCCTAGCAATAATGTGTTGATTGGAATACAGGGCAGGCAGATGTCGAGCAAAGGAAAAGCATATTCGAAACACGGAAAGTGAAAAAAAAAAAAAACACAAGAAAAAACAAAGATAATTCAAAAGCATGAAATGCAACAATAGTACAGAAACCTATACATTAGTACACTCTGAGACAAATCGACGCGAATTTTAAGTTAACAAGGCGTAAAACAATTCACAATTGCGAAAACACAGTTTCTAAAAGAATGAAAAAGACAAATGAAAATGAAACAAATAAAAACAAATATGACTTAAAAAAAACGTGAAAGATGGTACCATGAAATGTCAGCAAAGATGTTGAAGTAAATGTTTCTTTAATTGTGCTTTAAATGATGCTATATTGTGGCACATTTTAATTGACGTATGTAGTGAATTCCAGAGGTAAATACCAGAAAAGAACGCTGTCTGTTTACCATAGTTTGAGTGCACCACCGGTCGTAAGGAAAACGTTGTAAGGAAAATCTGGTCGAATTTGGATTTATAAGATAACGGAATAAAATACTGTTTATTTCAATATCATGCTGACGCGCACGAAATATGACCATACATAATTTCATGGATATGGAATGATGGGTGGGGAGAATGCCGAGATTACTGTGGATAGGCTTAGCGGAGTCATTCCAGTGACTAAAGGTTATAATCCTCAAAGCTTTACTCTGTAAATGGATCTTGGACAAATGAGCCCTATAGTCGTTTCCCCAAGAAGAACAACAGTATGTCAGGTGACGACTATGAATGAAGGCGAAGTATAGTGAGCGAAGAATGCGCAAAGAGAAGTAAGTGCAGGTTTTAATCAGAACTCGAATTCCAAAAGGAATTTTGGACGAAATAGCGGCAATGTGCTTATCAAGCTTTAGGTGAGGATCAATGGTAACACCAAGAAACGTGGTTGAGTCAGACGGGAGAATAACATGCGCGTCTATGGTTAGGCACGGCACGAATGGTATAGTTTTACGTGGAGAGTGAAATAGCATGAATGTAGTTTTAATCGGGTTAATTACGAGCTGATTATTACGGCATCACTGTACGATATTGGCTGCATCTTTATTTAATTCTGTAAGTAAGCAATCTAAAATACTATCAGAGGAAAATATGGTGGTGTCATCGGCATATAGGGTACATCTAGATGAATTAAGACATTTTGGTAAGTCATTGATGTACAATAAAAAAAGGAGTGGACCTAGTATTGAACCTTGAGGAACACTTTGATTTATGGTATGAGAGTTAGAAAAAGAATTGCCGACTAGAACAAGCTGAGATCTGTTCAACAGATAATTACGTATAAGCGTTAGTGTCGGACCACAAATACCATAAGAGTCTAATTTTGTGAAAAGGATGGCATGATTGATAGTGTCAAGTGTTTTTGAAAGATCCACAAATATGGCCCTGGCGAATAAGCCCATGTCGATGGAATGTTTAAGGTAATCTGTGAATTCGATTAGTGCGAGTTCTGAAGAAAAGTTGGGCCTGAAACCGGGCTGATAAGGTGTCAGAAGACTAAACTTGTTCAGATAATTTGTCAGTCGAGTAACCAGCAGTTTCTCGATAACTTTGCTAAAGAAAGGAAGCATAGTTATTGGACGATAGTTGTTGATTAGCGTGTGGTCCTCTTTTTTGAACACTGGAACTATTTTGCGTATTTTTAGTTCCTCAGGAAAATCATCATTCTTAAACATCAAGTTAATTACGTGGGCCAGAGAAATGGAAATCTCCGAGGCAATGAGTTTTATTTCAAACAGATGAATGTTATCTAGGCCAGCACCTGTGCAATTTAGTTGCTTAATTGCTTGAGTAATTTCGTGCGGAAAAGCAGGGCTTAAATAAAAAGAATGCGAGCATCGAGGGAGAGAGGAAACAACAGAAAAAGTAGGCGCATTGGCCTTAGAAAAATGTAGGTTAAAGGCATTGGCAATGTCGGAGGCATTTGTGAGTACTCGTGTACCAACAACAACTTTTGAAATCCCCGGCTCGGAAGCTTGCTGATTTAAAAATTCTTTAATTGATTGCCAATTTTTGTGGCTGTCATTATCATTGTTAAGAATACGATTTTGGTAGTAACTGTGCTTTGTATCCCTTAACAACATGCAAAGCGTATTGGAGTACTTTTTAAACTGCTGCAAAAGTGATAAGTTAAATGGTTGCATTTTTACTTTTTTATGCAAATTATTCTTTTTTTCAATGCTGCGCAGTAGACCGTTGGTCATCCAAGGTTGTCTAGGAACAGAATATCCTTTGACATGTGATGATTTACTGGAACATTTATTCATTGCATCAGTGATCTTATCACAAAGTTTACGGAAGGCTGGAATAGCAGAGCTATCGTTTAGGACACCTGTCCAATCAGTCCGCGAAATGATGCTACGGAATTTGTCAGTTGAAAATACATCTTTAGTTACAGTCTTCAGTTTATGTTTTACGTGACTATTCGCAAAAAGAAATACAGGAAAGGGGCCAGTAAACGGAAATTCGACAACACCGGCAGAATGATCTGTAGCAATATTCGTTAGAATGTGGTCAATAAAAGTGCTGGAACCACCAGGAACACTACGTGTGGAAGTGGTAATTGAACACTCAAGCCCGTTTCCTTGAAAGCATTTTATATATTCCGAGCACGAGGAGTCAGAAATATCAGCAATATTTATATTGATGTCGGCCATGATGATTATATTTTTATGTTCGTTGTTAACTCGAGTGAGCGTTTCATCAAGGGCAGAGCAGAAGTTGTAGTAGGGTGAGGATGGTGAACGATAAATGCATCCCAGAACTATTTTTGTACCATTAAAACAAGAGCCATCAAATTCTTGCCATACAGATTCGCAGTTATCAGTGGTAAGGGGTAAGTCATAGCGACGAATGTAGGTCATGGTATTGCGTACGAAAATGGCAGAGCCACCATGCCGGCTGTTAGCGCGGTGAGCGAATTCGAGAGGTAACCTGGTGGTACAAACAGTACGTCATCTGATGATGACAACCAAGTTTCGGAAAGACAGATGACAGAAAAACTATGATCAATGAGCGTCATGAAGTTGATAAGATCATCAAAATGTTTCGGTAAACTACGCGTGTTGAGATGAACAAGTGAAACATGAGACTTCGCGAAATGGTGCAATAGTTTCCTTGCCTGTTGAAAAGGGTAGAAAGCCATAAATCAGATATGAACTATTAGCCTAAGTGAACGAAAAAATAGACAGATCACTGAGCTTGGAAATGCAGAAAACACTACTGTCAGGCTCCTTTCTGGTCTTGATCTGGCAATTATCAACCCACAAGAATTGCCACTTTTTTCTTTTTTTAGCGATAGTGCTTGAGGAAACAGGCGTTTACTTTCAGCGGTCAGATGGTCATTGACAAACACTGGTCTTTCCTGACGGGCAGTGAAACCGATGGCGCGTGTAGTAAGACGAGCTTTCTTTACTTTGTTTGCGAACTCTGCTTTTTTCACACGTGAGGGGAGCCTGGCAATTATGTTTTTTTTTTCATTCGGTCCATTTTTAGTTGGCACCTGGTGAACAACATCAATGTCCGCGGAAGAGATAGCACAACCAACACTTTCACCGATGCGCTGAAGAACTGCAATACAATCCTCACCCTTTGTAGTAGGCACACCTTTAATTTCAAGATTATTCTGGCGGGAATATTGCTCTAGGTCAGCAACTCATTGGCTCAGTAACTCATTTTTTTTGTTGAAGGTCCTTGTTTTTTTTTTCTGGAGAGATTCCTGTTTTTGTTTCATAGTTTCAAAGAGATGATTGAAGAGGGAGAGGCTATTATGCAGCTCATCAACTTCTTTGCGCAATGCCTCTATATCCTTGGTAAGACCTGTGTTAGCTGGCATCGTGAAAACAGTACACTCAAAGGGGCAGCAAATGGTGCGGCAGCAATAAAACAATGTAAGCCTATGACACGAGAATACAAATGAAACGAACCTGCGAAAACAGGAGATGTTTGTCAGGCGCATTGCAAATGCTGCCACGACCACTGCTGCCAAAATGGAGGGCGCTGCTGGAATCTTCGTCTTATGTAGTCTACACCGATGGATAGGAGAGGAGACGATGATGTCGAAGATGATAGGTGATGCAGGCGATAGCTTGTGCTGTAGCTGCAACGTCGCCGGGCAGCACGTGCAGAAATGTAGTATAGGGGGTGATCCTGCGAAAACAGGAGATGTTTGTCAGGCGCGTTGCAAATGCTGCCACGACCACTGCTGCCGAAAAGTGGTTCTAAGATTACACAGAACCATGCAAGCGTGAAATCGAGCTGATGTCATTAAATATGCAACGCTCTATTGTGCACTTTCTATTTCTTCTATGTGCATGCATAGCACTTTCACATCATGCTCAGTTTTGTAGAGCTTCATGGTCAACCTCTTACACTTGTGCTCAAGTAGTTCCTCTACGAAGAATTCCGCAGAAAAAAAATTAGTTCCCTCAATATTTTTTTACTCGGGCTGCTCATTGTTCAATGTACTGGCCTGCTACCAGTTGTTATGCCAAACTTGTGTCTATTTCTTCTCTTTTTTTTTTACCAGAGGCTGGAAAGCTCAGAATAACCAAAGCAAATCGCAAGTCAGGATCGTGCAAAGGTGGTGATGAGGTCTGGATTCTCTGTGAGAAGATCAACAAGAGTGAGTATTCACAATGTCTTGTACATTTGCAGTCTGATGCAGGGCTTCTAATGCATCATGAATTTATTTACAATTATATTACCTTTAAGGCTAAGAGACGCTCCACCATAGCACTTCCGCAAGTGTGTTGGACTTTATGACGTCATGTTGGTGAACAGTAGGCATCTATGCTCCTACAACACGACGCAGTTCGTGTATGTGGCACCGTTTAATGTGTTCTAATACTTTCGAATACTTCCACCTGTGGAAGAACTTCCTGTAAATGCATCAAATTTACGTAACATTATTTTAATGTACTGGGTATTATATGAGAAAAAAAGTCATGGGTGTTGATTCATGTGTTATTTTAATCAATTATATTTAAATATAATTAAATATCTATTCATTCTGAAGTCACTCATGCTCTGTTTCTTTGTGCGTAGAACAGGCCTGTAGCCAGGAACTTTTTTCGTTACAGATAGCCACTTCCTGAATGCCATGGTTATTTTAGAAAACCATGTATTTTAGTTACTCAATTATGTCATCCCACAGGGCTAGTTCAGTCTAGCTTGATTTTTATAGCCCCAGTTATAGTGGGCACAGTTTTGGTGAACGCGCTTATTCTTTTTCTTTTTTTTTTGTAATGCACAAAGAGCATACAGGCAATGTTGGTCAATTCAATTTGGCAGCATGAAAAGGTAGTACGCATGATGATGACACTCAATACGAGACCTAAAGAAATTGGTACAAGGATATGTACAAATCACCAGCCATGAACACAAGGGAATAGGGCTGTCTTTTGATGATACTCAAGTAGTAGTTTGCAAAAGGTGGAAATGCAGTGCACCATAGTCATGAGCAACTAATTGACTACATAAAATGAACATCTTTTGCAAGCATATAAGTAGAAAAAGGCAAACTGAAGTTGCTATTCAAGCTAATCAATACAAATTTATCTGAGCTGAAATATTAACTTAGAAATGGGGAATTTTTCATTACAGATCTATGTTGAGGATTTAAGCCATTATAATGTAAGGCTAGGTCTGATGATAATAAACAGAAAATTTAGGTCATGTTCAATGGTCATGCAAGGGTATGAATATTCCGGTTTTTAAGTCAACCTCTATGATCTGTCTTCAGCTTTGGTTGAGCTTTGGTTTGATATGCTGCTTTAGGTTTCTTTAAAATCACAAGTAGGTTGTTTCAAAAAGATATTTCCTGGTCCTAAGATTGGTTGAAGACGGCCTTGGGCTGCTCCACTTTGAGATAAGTTGTTGCACCCTTTCTGCTTATAAATTGGCGAGTGTGCATTTGACGTGTTAACATGTAAAATGTGCTGGTTTCTAAACACCTCCGGTTCATATTATTTCTCGCTTACTTTGCTCCAATTTACAGAAGACATCCTGATAAAGTTTTTTGAAGAAAATGAGGAGACAAAAGAAAGGACGTGGGAGGCACCAGCTACATTTCAGGAATCAGATGTACATTACCAGGTGAGAGTTATTAAAGATGCGTCAGTTAGCAGTGCAGTGTGCCGAAGTGAGCCTTGCTTGCACTGCAAAATCGTCACCAGCCTCTATACTCTTCTCTGCTCTGTAGAGATATAAATACATTCAATACTAGAAAATAACATGCTGCAAAACTTCTGCTCGACTTTAAAGTTCCATTTCTTATAAGGCACTTTATTTTTCATTCCTCACACACGCTGCAGTTTCACCTGAGATGGTGGCAAAAGGTCGAAGGAATGGAAAATAAAATGGATTATGTAATCCAGGAACCTTGAATGTATGTAGCTGTAGTCTACGAGAATGTGTTGTTGGGCTAGTTGGTTCATGCTTAGGTTAAGGACGTAGACAAAAAAACCCTATCTTGTCCCCTTCTTTTTTCGTCTACATGAGTGGCGTTCTTAACCATTCTTCAGCAGTAGTGTACAGGAGCTACATTTACAGTACCTCAGCATGTATTTAACTACGGTAGACTCTCAATAAACGGAACCTGAAGGGACCGGGAAAATATGGCCCATGTAACAGGAGTTTTGTTTACATTGAGACAGTTCTGTAGCCAGGGAACTTTTTTCAATGGGATGGGCTGTTGTTGAAAGCTTTGAAAAACACCCATGTTTGTTATTTTTCCTTGGAAAGTCATGCCCTTCCATCCGTATGGCCTGCTGAGAGATCAACAGGGCAGCAGAATGCAAGAGTGAAACCAATCATATCAGAGGCAGGTGTTCCATTTAAGCAGTGCCAGTTTGGTTTAACAGATTTCCGTTTACTCATCCGTTTAACATTTCCGTTTGCTCTATCCTTGCTTCAGGTACTGCAAGCCGTGCACTTTGCCATTTACATTTATCGTATTCACTTCAATGCAGGGGTGGAACAGTTGCTTTATTTGGGCCACTGGGATCCAAACTTATTTACCTGTGCCAAACCACCCATGCTGCGCCAATATCGCTTATCAGCACTGTGCTGCGCTGCAGCACCCAAATTTAGCTGCAGGGTGCGAAAGTGATCAAGCCACATGTCCAGAAGCATATTTACGGAACATCATCTTTTCAGTTTCATCGAAACAGTTATAGTTTCGGTTTTGTAAAGGCTGTAATCACTCGAGCAGCAGCCGTGAACTTGTGCGCGTGCCATCATGGCAGGCATCAGCGTGAATTTCTCATGAACACTCCTATCACTGCACGCTCTCAATGTAAAAAGACTGCGAAAAGAGCATCTCTTCTTAACACAGGCATATCCTTTCACGCCAATGTTTTGCAGAGTTGCATGATATTGGGGCTAAAAGGGTTGACTGCCGGCCTTGCAATTCGTTGCTATCACATTCATTGCTTCACCCTTAAGGTGAAACTGTTTCTTTATAACTTGATGGCAGCGTTCGGAAAAAGAAACAAAGAATGATATGCAGTAACAGCGCTCCAAAGAAGCTGGGGTAATGTGTGGTTTCAAGACCAGCCTAGCCAAGACGGGTGCACAGGACTGTTCAACGAGCCTGTGCACATATCCTTGTTCATTTGGCCGCTGTGCACCATTATAAAGTGCTTATCAACTCGGTGGTTGATGCTCACGCATTCATGTTAAAAAAAATAGGATGTGTGGCAGTACATAGCTAAAAAAGACACAGTTGAGCCACAAGACCGAAGCAGTGAATGCAATAGCTGCGAACTATGTTATACGAAGTGATACTGGCAGCTAACTCTTCTTAATCTTATGCCGCGTAACTCACGCTTGTGTTTGAGAATACAGACTCTTCACGGAGAGCAGCACTTTTCTCGCATTCTCTCTGCGATGAGAGCAATGAGGATGCAACACGTTGAAGTGTATGGGAGCCGCACACTGATGCAGTGATGTACTACACTGAAGAATTCCCATGCAGAGACATGAAAATTCTCTATTTCAGTGATTTTTCCCTGGAAATGCTGACGAAATTTGCAGCATATTTTCCTGCACAACAGTACTAATTTCCACCCTCATTCACGCACACACATACTATAATTACACGTGTCTCACGTACCGGCGACTTTTGAAATCATGACTTGCCCCTCCGCTGCTGCACAACCAAAGCATGACTTTATCAATTCATATACTGTTAGTACACTGCACATTTTGGGCTTCAAGTTTAACACCAATAGTGAACTAGAAACTGCTCCGCATAAATATCAGAAACAAGTCTCAAAGGCTGTGCTGGCATGGTGCATGCACCAGAACCGATTACAGCAGATGAAGGCGCGCTAATTATCGGTCATCATAGAAGAATTTAACTATTCCTGAAATTCCCTGGAAAATCACGAAGATTGCCTTTTTCTTTTTTGCTTAAAATGACAAATGAAAATTCCCCGAAAAATGGAAAATTTCCTGCACGGACCATCACTGCGCTGATGGCTGCCAAGCTAGCGTGTGCACCAGCGATTGCAACGCTGCCCTAGAAGCAAAGTTCTCAGTTGTTGCTCAAGTGACACACCCTCCCTCGCTTCTTTTCGTGCTCTTTCAAGATGGGTGAAGTACTTCTCTCCTTCGACCACAGGCCTCTTGGGCGAGGGGATGCTATTGCATGTGCCCTTCCAGCGACAGAGACGGGCCAGAAAGTTAGATCTGTGCTTCAACCGCCTTTGTCATTTCCTCTTGTGCGCTTTTACCTGTGGATAGAACATACGATGTGGGGTGGTATGCTATCAATTTGGATTTTATATGGGACATGACAGCAACAGCAAAAACCTGTAGAGTGTGTCCTTATAATTTCGTAATAATAAGGCTATTTCACATTTAGCTTAGTGTTTGAAAAAGCAGCATTGGACGATTGTTGCTTTACAAGTGCTGTGTAACTGGGCCACATCTGCTCTGAAGGTTCTGACTGCTCTAAACTTGCCCAGAAAGGTTCTTCTGGCTGCTCCAAAACTGCTCCAAAATGCCTGTTTGCCTGATTACGGATCTGCTCTGAAATCTATGTACTCTGTTCCACTCCTGTTAATACAATGCGAGTTTTTTTTTCTTCAGATTTTTGCTACCTGGAGGCAGTCGATTCTTGCGTTACAGTGAAATACTGAAATTCAAGTTGTTTAAAATTGCAGTGATGTGCAGAATTCTTTTACATTTCTTTCATTTTTTTTTGTGAAAAGTCACCCCTCACATTAGAATTTTGGACACGTTATAATTAGGTAAATACAATGTATATTGTGTGAATATAGCACTAGTTACTGTTTTGATGTGATATTAGGCCCAGAGATCTTTTCTTTTTCTAATGTGCAGCAGTTTTTAATGTTTTACCTTCACAGATCTAAGTGGAGAAAGGTTCTGTTTGATGACAATAATGTCAGCATTGTTCCGTTCTGCATAACACTCGAGGTTTTGATGACAAGTTGCAGGGGGGGTGGGGCGGGGCTGAGGGGGTGCACTAGCTTTGCGGCCACAGTGCTGTTAATGTTTACTTTGTGGGAGCCATAGTCACTGTTTTTTTTACTGCTATATTATTTAAAGGGGCCTTGCAACACTTTTGGGACAAACTTATTTGGCACCGGAATGCATGTAGCTTTAGTTACTGAGACTAATGTTAGAAGAATACGAAAATTGCACCGAGAGTGAAGTTATAAGTGCTGAAAGTTCAAAACAATTATGAAAATTGCACAGAAATTGAAGTTATAAGTGGTCAAAGTACAAAACTCGAGCAGATGATGGACGATGAGAAACGTTTTCTTTCACATTTGACTCGCCAGCTGATGTCAAAGATCGCTTCCAATTACAGCATGCGTCTCATGAAGACATACCGAAAATGTCACCTCACAGTGGCCTTATTACAGTTCCTCGCTACTGCTCTTCTTGACGGCATCGTTAGCATGGTTACTACGAACCACATAGGTCGGGTAGCAGACACTCCCGTGGTCCAACTGTGTAAGATACACACATGATACGTTTTGGGCAGGGTCATTTCTCAGCTTGCTAGCAAGACGCGTTCTATGGCAATGCCGGCACCCACCGCATGTCAGATTTTTGGCTCACTAAAAACGTGGCATGCGTTTCCACCTTTATTTGCTGGCGTACCATAGCCTCGTTTGCAGGCTAAGTGTTGGGTTGGTTGTTGTGAAAATACATTTAGAAAAATGAACAGCTTCCTTCTGAGAAAGTGTAAAAAAAAACGTTTTTGCTGTTCTTAGCATTCACTCCTATAGCCTAGCTACCAGCATATGAATATTGCACGCCATTTCTCACATCAAGCCAATTAAAAGCGAACTGTCCTTGTCATCACGTCACATGGCCTGACTTCACTTCCCAGAACAAAAATAGCCAATGTGTCACCGTAGTTTAAAATCAAAGTAGTTTGTCCCCTGAATTAAAATTATAACTTCGTCGATGTCGGTGTTGCCATTTGCGCAACGATATCGGCACGTTCCACTGCGCCAGAAGAACCAATGAAGAATACACGCTCAAGCAGTGTCACAGGGCCCCTTTAAACATCCTTGCTGCACTTGTGTAAAAAATATCACAATGGCAACTTTGCTTTACATAAATGGTCTAATTCAAATTTATAGTTGAAATTGTCAATTTTACTGACTTGGCTACCACAGTATCAACTGTGTACGTAACAACGGAATTGAGAACTGAGACATTTTGCTGAGCCTTTGAAACAAAATTTCAGCTGTAAAGATCTAGCGCCAGTCATCTGTCGCCATTCAGTGATTCCTGTGCACAATGCTGCTCATGAGCTTTCATGATCTGCTGGTAGATGTTGACAGATAATTTGCTTGTTTCTTATGCATGTTTTCTCACCTCATACATTTCAACCATTTTGTGTTAAAATGGTACCATTATTATCGTTTGGTTTGGCACTCTTTCTTTACCTTGGATTGTGATGGTATTCTGCTTTAATTGTGAGCATTGATTCAAAAGGTATTTTTTAATATGCTTCACTGGCAGCATCGACTGCATCACGTGTTTCTAGCATTCTAAGATCATTTTCATGCAAGGAAGTTGCACACTTTTTTTTTGGCACGCAATAGTTGCATTTGTACACCTGTAATCATTGAGGCTGGCTTCCCGGTTGTCTTCTGTGAAGGAACTAGGCGTGCTGAGATCATTCGGGGTTTTTCACGTTTTTTGCTCAATAAAAAAATGCCACAGTGCATCTCATGTAATAAATGTTTTTGGGCAAAGAAACTTGAAGGGTGTTTGTTGTTTGCGCTGTTATTTTATTGGGAATGGCCAGCCTTGTGTCTTTTCTTCTCCAAATGAATAACGAGGAATGCCCTGAGCTGATGTTTTCTGACGGAAGCACTCCTAAAATGCACAATTGACTACCACAGTCAGGATATAAAATCTGCAACCCTTTGAACTGAGTAGTGCGATACCATACTAAGCCGTCAGTGGTATCTTTGGTTCAACATGTTTTCCATCCACACTAGTCTTATGACTCACTTATGGCCCTCCCAGGTGGCCATAGTTTTCAAGACGCCTCCGTATCGTGACACCAATTTACAGCACCAGGTGCCAGTCAAATTCCAGCTGATTCGCAAGTCGGATAATGACTGCAGTGAGCCATTTGAATTCATCTACATGCCTTGTGGGCCTTCTGGTTAGTACTCTAAAGGCTTTCTTTGTTTTGTTTGTTTTTCTGTTTTGGGGAAGGCTTTTTAAAAGTTTTTTGCAATCTGCTTTTAGAAATGTTTCAGGAACTACAGAAGCACATCAAAATCTTCATGTGTGTTTAAAATTGCTTTGTTGTTTTGTTGTATAGTTAAACCTGGATATAATGAAATGGATAAATTCCCGACAAAATTCGTTATAAAGAGATTTTCGTTATATGTAGGTTCAGTACGAAAATTCGGAAAATAAATGCGCAAATTAAACAAAAGGGGCACTGAAGGCAAAGCTAACCCCAAACACTGATTTTACAGTAAAAAACTGCATTGTTATTGTGATAGCACTTATATGGACACACTCGGCGCGTTCTTGCTGTCCCCGCCATATTCCACAAGTCCAAATTGACAACATGCCCCCACGCACTGTAACTTTCACAAGCGGGTAAAAGCACGCGAGCGCTGCTGAAGCAAAGATCAAGTGAGTCGGCCCATCCCTATCGCCTGGAAAGTGCGTAATATCACCCGCATGTTAAAACTGCCATCGCGTGCTCAAACAAAGTAGACCACCTGTCTTAAACGAGCATGAAACAACGTGGGGGGGGGGGGGGGGGGGGGAGGGAATCACTCGAGTAGCAATAATGAACTTGGATTTTAAGGGCGGTCGCGATCGCTGGCGCCCTTGCTATCTCGGTGAGTGTCATTGCGGTTTTAACGCGAAGGGACTGTGTCAAAAGAGCGAACGCAATCGTTCTGGTCAAAGTCGAATGCGCGTGATTCTCCACCGAAGGATAAGCGCGCGCGCACAAGCATATAAACCCCCTCTTCACCCTCCGCATTCGCGGGGCAAAGTACACATCGGAGATAAGCATCCATCGACACATCGTGACGAGCCGAGCGCGGGCGGATTTTTTTTTCTTGATTTTCTATAAATATAGGTACGTATGCATATACTACCATATTTACTCGCATAATCCCCGCACTTTTTTTGGTCGGAAAACCGATGCAAAGTTGGGAGGGTGCGAGAATTACGCGGGGAAAACTTTCCACGAAAACGTAGAGAGCGAAAAAGGAAACGAAGTGGCCGCAAATCGGGATTCTCACACCAGCAACTTACAGCAAGCTTTGAGAAGTACTTATTAGAACTTACCTCAAAAATAAAAGCAGAGGTTCAACACAAGACAAGATTTATTTGAGACACAAAAAGTGGAAGCAAATAGTCGAGAATCAGAATACCACACGCAAAGCTTGTGGGCGTTGCGGGCGTAGCGGTAGCGTTCGTCGCTGAACAGAAGCCCTCAAAAGGTAAGCGTAGGACGTCAGTATTGCGCTGATGGCTATTTAACAGAATCGTCCACAGTTTCCTCTGGTAGGTGTTCTGTGGTTTCCTTCTGAAGAAATGAAAGTTTACCATCAATCCCAGTTTTAGGCACACGGCAGACCCAACGCGTCTTGGTGGCTTTCAGCTGCCGTCACCAGTAGCGAACACAAAACTCGTAGGCTTCGAAGGGCGTACCGGCGGCTCCGTTGCCAATGTTTAGTGCACGATCAATCACTTTCAGCTTGAAAGCAGCCGTGTAGCTTCAGTATCGCCCCATAACGGGACAAAATTATTGACACAACAAACAAAACACGCCGCAACGCGCACTGGCCACTTCGGCTTGGCTTGGATTGGATTGAATCTCCGTGCAATAGTACGCTTGACGCTTAAGAGATGGTGCCAGATGGCGCACACTATCGTCATCAGTGGCTGGAACGAGCAGACGACTTTATTGCGGCAGTTTTCGGGGGTGCGATAATTACTCGAGGAAAAAAAAATCGTATTTTTCTTGGGCGATGTAGGGGGTGCGAGAATTATGCGAGTGCGAGGATTACGCGAGTAAATACGGTATATAGATATACGGTGAATGAAGGTGGCGGCGGCAAAAACCCAGCCTAAACAGCCTATATACATAAATTATACTATCGCAATAAAAAAAAGCAAAACTGAACGTCGTCAGGGGACACACCATGCGTGCGCAGTGAAACTGTGCACGCGCACAGGGCGCCAAAAATGAAGAGCGAATGACACGGACAGAGACACGGTTACTGCGAAAACTATTCCGTAAAGAGCCCCCCATATGCAGTGTGGCCCCACATGTGTGACCCTAACTAAAAGCGTGGCACTGTCAGCGCCCAAAAGTAGTTTTTTTTTTTTTTTTTTTTTTTTTGGTTTGGAGGGGGGAGCATACAGGCACATGTGACCGCGGCGGCGAGAAAGGGGGCATCGTCGGATCGTAAGGTGCAGGCTCCCCTGCCCGCCTCATGTGGACGCGGCCCACGTGCTCGCCACCACTGCTTCGGCGGCGGCGGGGCAGCAGCGGAAGATGCATGGTCGTACCAAAATGCCGAAATGCAGAGCAAAATTCCAAGATTGACCGTGGGGAAAATTCGTTATATCAAGGTTGTTTTTCGCATTTACTTTGTTACATAGAGGTTGCAAATACCTGTGCTCCTATTGAGGGATGGCAGGGAATAGAAAAACTTCGTTATATCCAGGAATTCGTTATATGGTGGTTCGTTATAGGCAGGTTTAACTGTATAGTCTAGAAGTCGGTAATCCCATTACAGCAAATTTATCTGTTTGAGTGTCACCACCAGTATGGCTGCAATTTTTGTATAATGTGCACGGAACAAAATGAAGACAAGATAATGTCAACTGCCTTGTCTTCATCTTGGTTTCTTACACTCTTTCATTGTCTAAGTGTGCCAACCAGGCCAATTCAGCTGATGGTGGTGGGGGTGGTGTTGCAAAGGCAGGGTTAGCCTGACCTAAAAAGCCAGCAATTTTTCCACCTGAGCATCTCTTAAATTAAAGGGGTGAGTTACCAAATGTCACTAAGCCCAGTGTCTTGCAGAAAAGTCATCAGGATATGTTGCACGCTCTTCCTCGTCTCCGTGGGTCCTTCAGAAAAAATTACATCTTCCAATGCCCCGTGCTTGTGACAACCTTTCTGCAAGCTGCGTGTCATGTCTTTTCTTTCTCTGTCAAACTGCGGGCACAGCCTAATGAAATGTTCGTTGTTACCGATGTCACCACAAACAGCACGAAATGGGAAGCGCCTCGCCCAGTCTTGAATGACCAAACTGGCGTGTATACGGAGTCGGTTCTTATTTGATAAAGCAGCATCGCTTGTTCTCTCGAAAGTTCGTTTATTACGCATGACTGCTGCGGAAACTTGTGGATCCCCCTGAAGTGATTGCTATAACATTCTTGTTGTTCTGGTAATTTTTAGGATCTCTTATTTTTGGAATGCAAGTTTGCGCTTCGTATGCAAGGGCATCAGTTTTTTCATTGCCTTCAATTCCAACGTGGGATGGTATCCACTGAAATTGTACATTGAATTTTTTGCCGATCAGGTGTTTAATGAGCGCCAGAGATTGCCTTGTGAATTTTTGTCAAAGTATTCCTCGATGCAGTCGCTGTAATGCCGACTGTGAATCGGTCAGCACTACCACATCTCGTGCAGAAAGCATTTGTGATTTTCGCAAAGCCGCAGTGATTGCTGCGCTTTCTACAGTTGTGGACGACACAACATGATCCAGGCGGCCCGACCATGACACGCCCAGGGTGGGTATGCAGAAAGCCGCTGCGCAGCTATCCGTCTGTGTGCACACTGATCCATCAGTGTAAACTTGTACCATATAAACCGGACTATAGGTCGAATGGGAATACAGGTCGACCCCCCAAGTTCAGGTTACCGAAAAATAAAAAAAAAGAAAAACAACCCAAAACTGCCGAACCAAATTTATTTGTGAATTGGGCACACCGCACCCTGATCGTCGGAGCTCCCCTCAACCACCATCGCAACTGCTCTTATTCGGCCGACGAAGCAAAACTGTCTTCTGAAGACGAGAGTTTGTCGCTGGCCGCCTCCCACAGTGCGTCGTCTTCAGTGCCATGCAGCGAGTTGCTGATACAACATTTCTTGAAAGCATTTTCCACCATGGAATCCGGCAAGGAGCGCCAGGCGGAAAGCACCCAGCCACAAACAGTCGCAAGCAGAGGCCTCTGTAGGCGGCCCGTCAGTGTCTTGGGGTTGTCGTCGGACATCCACTCTTGGTAGTCTAGCCGCATTCGGTCCTTGAACGGCTTGTTTAGCACAACGTCGAGCGGCTGGAGGGCGGACGTCGTATCACCTGGTATCACGGTGAGGTCCGTTTTCCCGTCGCCGAATGCGCATTTCAATGCGTCGGTTAAGTGGCCACGAAACGCATCCAACACCAGCATGCTGCGAAGACGCAGCAGTGCACCTGGCCGACGGTTCCACACCACTCGTATCCATTCGAGCATCATGGCCTCGTCCATGTATCCCTTTTTGTTGACACGAACGACAACACCGGGCGGGAACACTTCCTTCGGCATTGTTTTGCGTTTGAAAATGACAAAGGGCGAAAGCTTTCTACTATCTGCCGTATATGCCAGCATGACGTTGAAGCGCAAGTGCTCGCTGCCAGTGGACAACAGCTTCACATCCTTGGCGCCGCGCTGCGTGATTGTGGTCGACGAAGGCATATCAGACCACAAGGGGGTCTCATTGGCGTTACCAATCTGCCCCATAATGTAGTCGTTCTGCTCCCGAAGCCGGTTCACAAAGCGCTGAAAGTTTATGAGCTTGTCCTCACACTTTTCCGGCATCTTTTGACAGATAGACGTGCGCCGCCGGAGAGAAAATCTTTTACGTCGCATAAATCGACACACCCAAGAGTTCGGTGCACGAAACTCTTCTCTCGTGAGCCCAGCTTCTCGAGCGAGTTCCAAGGCTTTCTTGCGAATGGTATCCATGGTCACTGGCAGCGAGCGTGCATGAACTTTCCGCACAAAGTCCGCTAGCTTATTCTCGAGCTGCGGATGAACGGCACTTCATCGACGAAACGACATTTTTTGTGGATTGCACCTCTGCAGCTTCCCTTTCTGTGCCATCCAATAGCGCACGCTTTTTTCCGATATACCAAAGTGGCGCTGAGCAGCCATATTCCTGTTCGCTTCTGCGAACTTAACAACATCTAGTTTAAACGCAGCTGGGTACTGTCTCCTCGCACCGCTAGACATATTCAGTGAACGAAAAAAAAAAAAGTCACTAAAAATGCAGCGCAATGTCAAGCGGAGTGAAAACTCAGAACAGATCGGAAGCAAATCACGAACACAAAGAAAACAGATGGAAGAAAAAAAAAAAAGAGAGACTGCGATTGGATTTGGATGCGGATATGGCCGCGTCCGGCTTCACAAGCACATGCAAGTTATATGTTGCCAGACAGCGTCGCACTTTCGGCTAGACACTGCTATATAAGATGAGGGGCAATTTTAGCTTATTGAAAATATCTCGACTTATATTCCGGTTTATACGGTAGGTGACCACGGTACATGGTGCTCAAATGGTCTAACACCAGAAACCTTGCTTTCTCAGTTGGAACAGTGCGTTTTGTCGGCAGTTCAGGGACCCTGAAGTTACATGCAACATTCACAAAGGACTATGACGGGTCGATAGGGCTCTGATGAGGCGATTTCAAGCCTAAATGTGGAAATGTGTTGAGCTCCGCGTGAAAATATGAGTCGGGTCTCGCTCTTAGCCACTGGAAAAGGGCTGTTTCTGTGGAGGACTCGCCCAGTCTTGATTGCTGCGTCAACAAAGTGAGATGCCAGGAGACGGAGTGGTAGACACTCGGCTTCATCGCTGATCTTCTTGTTTGACGTCGCCTGAGGGACTCCTATCGCCAATCGAAGACCCTTTCTGTGCACTGCCTCCAAGCGTTCAAACTGGCTTGATGTTGGCGATATCAGCAACAGCTGGTAAAGGTGGCTTGTTATGAGCATAGCATTCAGCTCAAGCGTCGACATAGGATTGTTGCCTCAGCATACACCTGCCATGCAACGAAGAGCGTTGAGTCACTGCACAGATGTGGCCACAATACCATCGACCGCTCGTTGCCATAGTAATCTGTCGTCGATGGTAACGCCCAGGAAACGAACACTTGTCGCATGACGAATGGAATGGCATCTGATACTCAGCGACAGGCGCGGTGACTTCCACCACACCCCCGGGAAGAGCATGAAGGCAGATTCAAGATGCGAAACTGCAAAAGCTAATTTTAGGTGTTTGAATATGGACAGTGAGCTGTCTTAATAGAGTGAACAGGACAGCAGAAAGCTACAATAGAAGCAGTAATTTAATATAAGTGTATGCACCGTAAAAGCTTTGACAATAGCATTTCAGACTTTGCAGCCACGTTTAGTTCGTAGTTTTTACTACTACAATTAAGAACTGGTCCTACATTTCGAGACCTATTTGGTGTCTTTTTCAGGGGTTGACTGCACAGCTAGCCCCGAAGCACGAGAAGATATTGAATGGGTCTCAGAACATGGCACCAGATTTTAAATTTAATATTAAAAACTATAGACTGAACCTGGCTGTAGAGTCTGTTTATTCATATAGTCTTATCTAGCCTGACAGATCTCTGTCAAATATGTTTAACTCTATATCTTATAACTTTATAAAAGAATACATCTCATAATTCGATAAAAGAAGAAGATGCTGCAGCGATTTGACATCAGTGATGTGCAAAGAAGAAGGTAATTTTTGTGCTGCTACATTATACATCGGAGTGCCTTCTTCATCAGGGGGGGTGGGGGCGTTTAAAGTTTATTGTAGCGCCCCTCTTCCTACTTAGTCGTATCGGGCAGATTTCGCTCCCCCCCCCCCCCCTTCGTAGGTAAATTGGGGCGGCGGCCACCCCCCTAGTGTGCACGCCTATGACGTGCCAAACACAAGCAACACCATTTCCTACTTTGAAATCTTGTGTCGATCTGTAGCCTCCATCATTACATTTCAGTTGCAAAGCCAACACAGGCATCCTCACATTTGTGCTTTTGTCAAGATCTCTCACGGTTAACCTGTTGCCATTTGTTTATAGGCTATCCTTCACATGTGCACTTCGGTATTGGTTACTTCTAGGTTTGTGCCAATATTTGAGTAGTTCAATTATTTCAATGAATTTTAGTATTTGAATTCACTTCGACATGAATTCGATGTATTCGAAATTTTAGTGTTCGAAATAAACGAATAAAGCGTATATTAGTTTGCATGTATTCACCCTGTAAAGATGGTTTCACTGCAGAATGGAGTGCTATGCTGTGAAAACACCTATAAAAAAAAGATTCGCAATGTTAGTACCACTTCAAGTCAAATGAACATACTACCCTCACATTGATTAATCTTTTTTTTTGTTTAAGAACTTGTTATACAAGCTTATATTCTGTAAGTATAGTAAATGTTAAAACAAAATGTATTTATATTTTACGAGTTATCGCTTGAATGCTACTGAAATTCGAATCCTGCTACTATTCTGCAGTGTTTCTTCTTCACTTCGAACCAGGAAAAATTGCATGTCAATTTCAGTTAAAATAGTATATTGTGCAGCATTGTTGGGCATATGCTCATTTTTCTATTTGAATATATGCAACCTTAAAAACCACTTGCACGTCCATAGTTGTGTTGCATACCTGTGGATCCACCTGTAGATTTTCTTAAAATATGCTGAGAAATTCTAACTTTCAGATTTTGAACTTTATTGAGGCATATGCATGATCCAGAAATAAATAATCCATTCAACTGTTTGCTTTCAAATGTTTGGAAGACACATGTAACCTCTAAGAGTGTTGCTGCCATTCAAGCTCATTGGTAGCGTCGGTAGATAATTTGAGAATGTTTTGGCTTGGTCAAAACCACTCCAGCTTCTCCACGTTCCTAAATTGACCCTTTGTGCACACTGTGACGTGCAGGTGCATTTCAGTGGGAGCAAGTCGAAAAGTGCGCTGCAAGGGGCTTTATCCCTGCCTGTTTGTTTGGCACACGTGTATGGCACAACCACTCGTATCTTACTGTCACATGACTCAGTGGATCGGTTCGTCGTCTGAACACACCATAAAGCCCGAAACATATGCAGCGTTTTTGCCAGCATTTTCCCGGCGCCGCTTCCCTCGGCGTCATCGGGTCAACGCCGCCAGAGAGTGTGGCAAACCATATGAGGGGCGCCAAGGCCAGCGTTAGCTCAGCATCCCACAGTGTGTCGAATAGGATGAACCCGAGACCTCGCAAAGCAGTGTCTGTCAATGCAGCAACAAGAAATATTCCTGAAAACCGGTTTCATGTAATATTTGCAGTTCTGAGGTGAGAAGAACAAATCACAGTACCACTGAAAAGTTTTTTTTTTACTTGTAGCGCCAGCTGTTGAGAATAGGAAGAACCAACAACTCGCAATATACGGCACTTGAGCTTAGAAGTTGTTGTACATCTTTGAGGCCACGTATTCAGCCGATACACTCAGGCCTACTAACCCTACCGATGGACTTGAGTATGGCGCTCAAAAACGGTTTCAAGAAATCCCGAGCACTTCTTGTCGAAGCTTCTGAGGAAAGTTAAGTCAAATACAAGCATCAGTTGAGAACTTTCGGGTCACACAGAACACGGGGACGACTTAATAGATCCGAATGGGGCGGCAGCCATTTTGACAGCAGCAAACGAGGCTGTTACGTAGCGGAAGTCGCTGGCAGTTGTGCGCTGATTGGTTCTCCTTATTGACTTGCTTCCAGCGTCAGTGCCGGCGCTGCAGATATCTGAATCGTCCAGAAGGGGAAGTTTCGACCACCGTCACTGGCAGCGTCGACACCGAGTGACGCCGGCGTACGAAACGTCGGGAAAACGCCGGAAAAGTGCTGCATATGTTTTGGGCTTTAAGGGCTTTTCCAGTAGAATTTTTATGTCATGCCTTCCGGGTCGTTTCTGCCCTCCTGGTCTGTCCTCCTGTTGTGGAGGTGGATTAATTGTTCAATGCATCAGTGAACTGGCAATGTTTGTGTACTTACTCGTCTTGCAGCTGATGCCTAAATGAAGATTAGCAAAAACTCTAGCTGATTAACAAAAATAACATGAACATAGCAACAGTCTGCATGATAGGGATGGCTATGCTGGTGCGAGAAAGCTTGTGGCTCTCACATGTTGCTAGACTGCAATCGTAGTTGCGCAAAGGTCTGGTACACAAGTTAAGGGTCTGTGTTTTAATGATATTTCTTGTAAAGAACCTCTACATAAATTCAGCACTTAATGGTAATTAAATTAATAGTTTTGTTGTAGTGTTAAGGTACATATGCAAATTTACTGCATTTTGTGGGTCACCTAGTGACATTACATTATCAGATGGATATAGTATCAATACTACTGTAGCCTGATAGAGAAGAACCTGTGACAGTTCTGCACCAGAATCTGAATAATGAAGGAAGCCTGAAAAGTAACACCTGTAATTTAATCAACTGCTGTGCTGTTTAAGATATGTGCCTGGCCAGTGCATCGATTTATTGATGGGATTTCTTGAAGGCAATGGCAGAGGTGTGTTTATGAACGGAGTAGGCCGAGGCCAAAGCCTCACTTTCCTGAATTATTTGCGTTGTTTTTGAACATCAATCATTCCTATTCAACGAATATGTTGATGCGTACAGCTGATCCGCTGTGTAATACAGATGTAACAAATTATTGAGCATAATCGAGTAACTCGCATTGTAGCTCCACAATATACGTATAACAATGAATATAAAGAAGGCATTTTTATGTCAAATGTGACCTTGTACAGCCTGCAGTCATTTGCATAACCGGGCCACTGGTTCTTATTCATGGTCTTGTGTAAAACTTTCTCTCTGGTGTATGCAGCATTGCAGCAAGGATAGAACCAGCAAGTGTCAGGGCAACTCCCTCCGACTGAAATGTTTGCAACCATCTGAAGCCTTGTTTCACTGTGCCTTTCCTTTTGCAGACGACGAGCTTTTGGCCCACAAGCGGCGCAAGCTCAGTCATCACTCGCTCGAAGAGGCTTCATCCCACTACTCGGGCATCATGGGTCCACCTCGTGGCGACAGCAGCAGTGCTAGCACACCGACATTTGGCATGGCTACCTCATACCCAGGTGACCCCACTACACAGGGCAGGAAACAATACTCAAGCAGCATGACCATTCCCTATTCAAGTCAGCATATTGACTGTGCCCAGACAATGCTCAGCCTCATAGAGGAGAGCTGAGGCGAGCACTGTAGATGAGCACTCTTGAGGCCACTTGCATTGAATGCACACCAGCCTGGAAGGTTTTTCAACTTTCGCAGGCTTTCTCAGGTACAAAGGCTATCCTGTAAATCCAGGCACTTTCTTCACTTACCAACGACTGTGATAGATCTTAAGAACACTTGAAACTGATGCATGCAAGCAAGAATGGTGCAAGTACAGTTAAACTTGGATATAACGAAATGGGCGAATTCTCGGAAAAATTAGTTATGAACAGGACTTCATTGTGTGCAGGTTTAGTACAAAAATTCGAAAAACAAACATACAAATTAAAGAAAAGGGGAACTGATGGCGGAGCTAACCCAAAACACTTATTTAGCGGTAAAAAACTTCATTATTAATGCGATATGGACACTCTCGGCAGGTTTTTGCCATGATCGCCATGTTTCATAACAAGTCCAAATTGATAGCATGTCCCTGCGCATCGTAACATTTACAATGGGATAAAAGCGCGCAAGAGCTGGTGTAGCAGAGATCAAATTAGCCGGCTCATCTCTATCACCTGGAAGGCGCATATGATAACATCCCCCCACATGCTAGAACTGCCGTTGAATGCTCAAACAGAAAGGAAACAGTCCGCCTTCAAGGAGCATGAAAAAACGAGGGTGGAGGGAAGGGTTTATTGAGTAGCAACGATGAACTTTAATATTAAGGGCGCTAGTGCGTGCAATATCTTGGCAAGCATCAGTGCGCTTTCAAGGCGATGAGACTGTGTGAAAAGGGCACTTCTCTCTCTTCTCTCTGGAGCGGCTGTATTTGCTTACACCAGCACATACGTGCCAAGTCTCCTGCATTACCCGGGAGTCTCCTGGATTTTGACAGTTCCTCCTGGTTGTGTGGGTTACAGGAAAATCTCCCGGACATCCAGTTCTGCCCCGTGCGTCCAGTGCTTTGTCTGCCCATTTGAGCAAACTTGTCTGGCCACGTAGTAAAAAGGATTATTCTTCTTTTTTTTTTAACGATGGTAGCAAGGTTCAACTCTGTTTAATGTATGTTTTTGAGATGCGAACTTAGCGCCAGAACATGCAGCCTGCCGATTAGGAGCAGCGAAATCATGCATGGCTGTGCAGTTTTTGGGGCTCATGTACATTCCATTGTAGTAGAGAGAGGGCAGTGACCCTGTGGTGCGGTTGATGCTTTTGCTGGCTATTGAATGGGCCGGCATTCCAGGAAGTGATGGTGGTCAGACTGCTCGCAGTGCTGTGTCACTACACTTTGTTCGCTGTTCAACTGATGGAGGTCGTTCCTGTGCTGCCGCATCTTTTCGTAGAAATTCTTCGTTTTTTCGATGTAGAAAGTGGGCAATCAGCCATTCACGCAGCTGTCAAAATGCCCTGTCCCGTCACAGCACTGGTTTTCATGCCAGACAGATAACTGCCGAATGTTTACATTTGATATTACATGCCAGCGGAGATTGTGACGTACAAAAAAGACCCCACCCCATCCTCGTTTTGTGCTGGTTTTTTCCAAGAATGCCAACTAGGACATAGTTCGCATTTATCATCCGGGCTATGAGCAGAGAAGGCTGAGCAGGGGGAAAGCGAGCGGTCTGCAGGACTGTACTCCATTTCATTTCTTTTGTTTTTTCTACATCTCCCTGCACCTGTGAGCTTACAATGAGGCTTGAAATTGGTGCTGTATGTTTTGAAAATCCTTTTTGGTGCTCGCCCTCTTTTGCTGGAATGTGGTGGGCTTAACGAGTTTTGAAAGGAAAGGCTTGTGGAGTTTTCCAGGGCACAAGATTTTCGTAGTGAGGTCGCCCAACACCGCCGTAGGTCTTTCAGTTGAGCTGGAGGTTCGGTGGGTCCTGCAACTAGCAACACTAAACTCGGTTGTTGTTCTAATCGGCCACTCGACGTAGAGGCCTCGGGTGTGGTATTGTTGTGCAGGCCTACCATCAGTCATGACTATAAGTAAGGAGCGTGAGCGCAAGAAGTATCTGAAAGTATTTCTAAAACAGTACACAACTGATTTCGGTTGCATTGTAGAATCACGATTGGGGAAGGCACCATTCACACTGCATTGTGTGTGGTTGTGACTTCGGCGTTTCACATGGAGGCAGGTTGGACATCATCACTCACATCTGGTCGAAAAAGCACGTCAGCGCCCTTCACAGCCAAGAAAAGCAACAGCAGCTGGGACAATTCTTCCGCAAAGAGGATGGTGACAGTGACGTTGTCCATGCTGAGTGCTTGTTCACAAGATTCCTACTAGAGCACAACATTCCGCTGACTGCCATCGACCACGTGTGTCCCTTGTTTTTCAATATGTTTCCCACATTGGACATTGCAAAAAGGTGTGTCTGTGCCTGAACGAAGACAACTGCACTTGGAGAAATGGCTAATCATTTTCAGAAAGGCATTGTGAGTGCATTTAAGCAAACTGTTTTCGCTGTCGCAACGGACGGCAGTAACGACAGCGAGTCTCAACTCTATCCTATTGTAGTGACGTACTATGCGCAAGATACGCGACTTGTTGAGAGCAAGGACAAGCAACTACAAGGCCAACCAACTGGGCGCAATATTGGAAAACTGATTACTGATGCACTGGCATCTTTTTATATCCCAGTTTGTTTAGCATTTTGCTCGGATAATGCGAACGTTATGCTGGGGAAGAAGAATAGAGTAGCTGCAGTGCTAACAGAACTTCACGAGAATATAATTAAGATCAGATGTCCGTGCTATTTTGTCAATCTTTCATTTCATTTCATTTCATTTATTTTACCCTCAATCGCACATAGCTTTACAGAGGGGAGTGGGGTACAGAAAAAAAACTATAACCAAGAGCAAACATAGTAACATCAAAATAATAAAAGTTACAAAACATGAAAATTCGATGTTAGGCAGTACAATGAATGTACGTGTAAGTATCATCAGAATGGGGCAAACAGAGTACAAAAATATATATGTACAATATACACTTCACGTGTCATCACATAAGTAATTCTGTACTGTAGATGAGAACAAGTCGTGACTTTAAATGGAAACCATGTCTGAGGGAAGGTGGTTCCAGTCGTTGGATGTGCGTGGGACGAAGGAATGATGAAAAGTGTTAGTGCGGCAGCTAATGACGTGCACCTTATGTTGATGATCTAAACGAGCTGAGCAATAGGCAGGAGTGGTAATGAACTGAGCTTTCAAAAGTGGATGATTGATTATCTTGTGAAAAAGTATGAGACGACATACAAGAGACATATCTTGCTGCTGAGAAGGTCGCATCGTGGCTACCTTCAAAGGCAGATTAAATTCTTGTGAATATCTTCTACTATCTGGAAAAAAGCGTGAAGAGAAAAAAATTCTCTTGGAAAGTTTCAATACTTGCATGACAAACGTTGATGCATGTCCCGACCAGGTGGCTTTCACTTTGGAAATGCCTCACAAAACTGCTTCTCTGTTAGGTGCCGCTGTTAAGTTTTTTTCTAACTGAGGCAAAGAAAGACACAAAAAGACCTTCTTTCTTTGAGTGCTACAGCATCTCGAAGGTAGATCGTACTCAAGCAAAATTCAAAGAAAAATATGCTAGCATCAACTCAAAGAGGAAGAGTACTTCTGATCATGTGCAGCCAGCGGCAAAGAAGCCTAACAACAGTGAAAAGGAATGTGTGGACGGGCGCTACATAACTCGTGTAGAGCGTTTTTTTTTTCTTGAGCTCAAAGAAAGCTCAACAGAGTATATTGCTATGACAGTATGCTCTGTTATTTATGCTTTAAAATATTATGACAAGGTTCGTGAAATCTTCTGTAATGAAGAAGCAACGAAATTTTCTAAGCGTTAATTACAAAAGCAGAGCAAATGAAAATGATGATAAAGATTTGGTCATTGGCCAAGCAACCAATTCTTGGATTTCAAATCTCAAGCCGCAGGAGCAGCATGAGTTTTACACTTCTGTGCGAAATTATTACATCACAGCTTTCGACTACATTCATCTCAAGTTTCCTCGAGAAGATGTGGCTCTGATAAACGCTGAGGTTGCTAGTCTAAAACTTATAGATTGCCTGTTTTTCAGAGATGCTCTCTTTTTTGTGGAGAAGTTTCGAGCCATGCTGCTACAACAGGTGTAGGAAAGTTGTACAGAAACTCTTGACGCTCTAGAAATGGAGTTCCCAAAGCTCCAGGCTTCCACCATCCCTACAGACATTTTGAAGAAAAAACGGCAGACACACAGTGGACAGCTGTATAGCAACTAAAAGGCCCAGACGAGTTGCCAAAGTTCAGCCAGATCGTAGATGTGATGGTGGTTGTACTGTCGATACCACACAGCAGTGCAGAGTGTGAGCGGCAGTTCAGTATCATGAAAAATACGAGGAATAACATGAGAAAATTCCGCTCATCCATGCCTGCTGACACACTCGCAAACGTCCTTCTCGCAAAATGTCAGAGAAATTGATTTTGCTGTGATCAAACATATACTGATAATTTTTTGAAGGCGATATTGGCTGCAACAAAAGCCTTGCAGAAGTGAGGCCTTGATTTAAACATAGCTGGTGTGTGAGCTCATAAACCGTGGTCACAATCATTGTCAACGAAGACTCCCAGGGCACCGACTTAATCCTCTCTAGACTGTTCTTAACTTGTGTGACCCCCAAAAATGCACTGCCGAGGCTTTGACTGCAGCTTTTGTACCCACAAGCAGCTGCCCAGAAAGGAGGTGACCCTTTCCTCTGTTGAACAGAGTCCCTATGAAATCTTGCAACTAGGTGTGAACCCACCAAAAATGAATTGGCAATGCAAGGACATAAGCCGTTATATATGGTATTGTACTTCTGTGCAAGTACATAAAAAAGACGCACTCTGTTTACTCTTGGAGAGAGCACTCACGAGAAATTTGGAGCCAACACTTGTGATGCG